AAAATAAAAATAAAAGCTTTTTCCTTTGAACATTACCGACGGAGTTCCGTTAGAATTTAATTTTTTTAATAAAAATTTATATTTCGTCGGGAAATCCGTCGGAATTTATTTGTTAAATGTTTTTTCCTTTGAAAAAAATACATTTTAGTGAAGTTTTTATTATAAAAATTATTAAAAAAAATGTTTTTCTTAAACATTACCGACGGATTTCCGACGAAATTTAATTAAAAAATTAAATTCCATCGGTAATGTTTAAGAAAAAGTTTTTTTTCCCTTCCAAAAATATATATTTATTGAATGTTTTTTATTTTTGAAAATGTTCAAAAATATATATTTATTTGAAAATGTTTTTTATTTTTCCTTTGAAAAAATATATTTTAGTGGACTTTTACAGGTATTATTGGGTTTTAGTGGATTTTACTCGTTTCAAATAGGCTTTAATGGAGCTATTAATTCTTATTCAGTTCAATTCGACATTAACTATTGGTACTATTGGGTTTTTATTAGTATTACTGAATTTAATGAATCTTAGTAGATTTTAATGAATCTATTGGGCTTTAACGAGTATTATTTGGTCTTTAATAAATCTTAGTGGACTTTAACGAGTATTATTCGGTTCAACTAGGCTTTAATGGAGCTAATGGGTCTTAGTGTATGTGTGTGTCATATTTATTTATATCTAGTTTGGGTTGCCATATGTTGGGCAAACGTTGTGATTGTTTAAGTTAGAATGTTAATATATAATATACATATATATATATATATATATATCTAGTTTGGGTTGTCATTTCTTGGACAAACGTTAAGATTATTTTAGTTGGAAATATTTCATTTACAGCCGTCATACTGTCGAAATTGACTGGTAGTATTTTTTGAACCACAATGGTACCTTATTCAAACAATCTCATCGAGAAGTACGGTGAGGATCCCTTGGTCTATCCCTCATTGATACCGACTTGTGGAATTAGGCGGTTGGGGGATCCAAGAAAGGCTGTCTATTTGGGTTCGGGTACAATAAATTTGGTCTTGACCGGGACATCTTCACAAGCAAACTCGAATGGATCATCTAATGTAGATAGTCAGGTGTGTACCTATTTATCCTTTGATGTTTATTTATTTCATTTAAACTTCTTATTGTAAATTTTAACGTTTTATTTTATTTGTAGTTAATTAATAACTTATAGTCCCAAATTCAAGAAATGCGCACTCGAGATGAGATCCTATAGAAGGAAGTTGATGAACTTCTCCATCGAGAAGAGATTCGAAACAGGGAAGATGAGATCCGGAAGAAAGAGCATGCAGACATAATGGATATGATGAAAAGGTTTATATAATCTCAACAGTTTCCATCGAGCCTGCTGCAATGGATTTGATATAGTGTATTTTTGAACCAGTGTCATCAATCGAAATTATATATGTACATTATTTCATTCGGATAATCATATTAGGTATTTATGACAGATTTGTGTATTGTATATTTGTATTTAATTTACAGGATATTTATATTTTAGGATTTTAGATTAGGAGGTTTTTTTGGTTTTTTTTCCTGTACCAGCTACATTTCCGACGGATTTCTGGCGGAAAATCCTTCGGTAAATAATTAGATATGAGCTTTAATAAAAAAAATCTGGCGGATTGTTTGATGGATTTCCGACAGAAAACAATTTCGTATTTTAATAAGGAAAACAATTTTTAAATATAATTACCGACGGAATTTCTGTCAGAAATCCGTCGGAAATTATATTTTTATTTTTGAAATAAAAACTGGTTATTGTTTTAAATGAGGGAAAAAGTTTACCGACGGATTTCCAACGGAAATTCCGTCGGTAAAGCTAATCAAATTTTATATACCTTCTAATTAACCCGGAAATTGGATAACATATTATAAAACATTTCGACGGATTTCTTGCAGGTTATTTCACCAGAAAATACAAATCTCTTAGAAATTCCATCGGAAATTGCATTTAGCGGCAAGGGTTTTTTGGAAGGCAAAATCCATCAGAAAGTTGTTTTTCCGACGGATTTTTGACATATTTTGTCGCTGGAAAAACCACATTTTTTAGTAGTGTATTCAGTGCCCTCATTGTATGGGATATAGTAGAGAGGTTGTAGTGAGCCCGAAAATGTGGCCACTTTATGTAATGTTTAAAACGATGACTTAAGAGATATGAGAAAGAAGGACAAAAAAACTCTCTTCCTAATCTACCAAGCATGATGATGGCTTCGATAAGGTTAAGTGCAACATCTAGCAAGGTAGCATGGCAGAAGTAACAAACTTCCCATAAAGGAGTTGAACATCTGAAAAAGGTACGTCTTCAAACATTAAGGGAGAATTTGAATTGTTGCATATAAAGTCATCTGAGTCTTATCTTGATTATGTTGCAGTCTTATCCTAATTATGTCGCAAGAGTCCAAGAGGTCTCCAATCAATTAAAGAGAAATAGTGAATAGTTGGAAGACGTGAGAATCATGGAGAAGATACTTCATTCACTAGAGCCCATGTTTGAGCTTATTGTGGTGACGATTGAAGAAACTAAATATTTGGAAGATCGAGCAACTAGAAGGATCTTTGCAAGCTTTTGACGAAAAACATAAGGGATCACTGAGCAACTCCTCAAGTTACAACTCAAGGAGAAAGATATCAATGGCACGAAAGAACCCAAAATAGTCGAGATAGAGGCCATGAGGACGAGGTCCTGGCCGTGGACGTGATTGGACTAGTAAAACCAATTGTGTCAACAACTATGAGAAAGAAGAAAGCTCATCAAGAGGTCATGGAAGAGAAAATTATTCAAACTTGAGGGTATGACAAATATCAAGTTCAATGCTACAATTTTCAGAAGTACGAGCATTATGCTTCAAAGTGTAGAGCTCCAAATTGTAGAGCTAAAGAGAAGGATAATTATAAGGAAGTAAAGGCAGAGGAAAAGGGAACATTATTACCGGCACACAAAGATAACACCGAAGATCATGAAAATATATGGTATCTCGATACAGGTGCTTACAAACATATGTGTGGAAAAAGAAACATGTTTGTGGAGGTTAAAGAGTCTATAAGTGGCAATGTCTCATTGGGAGATAATTCTAAAGTTTCGATAAGAGAGAATGGTAATATTGTCTTTCATGCCAAGGATGGTAGTCACCAATAAATCTCAAGTGTCAATTATGTTCCAAATATGAAAAGAAATATTTTCAGTTTAGGGCAGCTTTTAGAAAAAGACTATGGAATTCACATGAGAGATTGTAGTCTTTATAATAGATCGGAGAATTTAATAGAATGGTGAAAATGGCAGAAAATATAATTTTTTTTTCTTAAACATCAAAGAGATGTTGAACATGTTTGAAGGATTTTTATAAAAATACATCACGGTTCATCGATTTTTATAAACATGTTTGGTAGTCCTAGAATGCAATGATGGAAGGACTACCACATCTCAAACAATCGATGAACCATGTGAAGGGTGTTTACTCTGGAGAAAATTTAGAATTTCTAAAGGAGACGGAGTCAAGAGCGAAGAATTAAGCCACTTGAGCTTATTCATACGGACATGTGTGGTCCAATCAATTACTTTTTTCATTGTTTAATCATTGATGATTAGTTAGGAAAAACTTGGGTACATTTCTTGAACAAAATCAGAAGTCTTCCAAGTGTTCAAGAAGTTTAAAGCCATTATGGAAAAGTAAAGTGGGCGCAAGATTATGGCAATGAGATCCGATTGAGGAGGAGAGTTCACTTTAAGAGAGTTTTATGAAGAAAATGGAAATCTTTGAACTTTGATAGTTCCAAGATTCCCTAATAAAACGGTGTAGCCGCAAGAAAGAATCGAATGGTTCTCGATATGATATGAAGCATGCTCAAAAGCAAGAAGTTGCCAAAATAATTTTGGGGCCGGGGCAATGGCATGTGCAGTCTATCTTTCAAATTGTTTTCCAACAAGAAGTGTTTAGAGAATGACACCACAAGTAGCATGGAGTCAAAAAAAGCCAAGTATTTCTAATCTTAGAGTTTTTGGAAGTGTTGCCCATTTTCATGTACTAGATGAATGAAGAACAAAATTGGATGATAAGAGTGAAAGTTTCATCTTCATCGGTTATGATACTAGCTCGAAAGGATAAATGTTGTATAATTCTAGAACTAAGAAGATAATAGTCAGTAGAGATGTTGTTTTTGATGAGGAAGGAGAATGTTTAGACATCACAAGGATGATTATAACTTTATTCAATTTGAAGAAAATGAGGAGGCACTCCCAAAATATCCCACAAGAACATGTTACTACACCTAATTCACCAACATCAAATGCCCATGACAAATTGTCTTCAAGTGGAAGTTCGAGAGAAAGAAATCCACGTATGAGGAGTATAGCCGATCTTTAGAAGCTACGGAGCTGATAGATGATGTCACACTTTTATGTTCGTATGCTACTTGTGAACCAGAAACTTTTAAAGAAGCAAGAAAAGAGGAGAAATGCGAATATGCAATGGATGAAAATAAAATCCATTATGAAAAACGAGACTTAGGAATTAACTTCACTTCCAATGAGGCATAAATAACATTTGTCAAGTGGGTTTACTAAGCAAAGAAGAATGCAAATGGTGAAAATGAAAAATACAAAGCAAGACTAGTGGCTAAGGGCTATATTTAAAGAGCCAGAATCGATAATTATTCCCCATGCTGCTTGAAACCATTATATGATCCATCAGATGGATGTGAAGTCGGTATTTTTTTTTAACAAAGTACATGACGGAGAAGTTTGTAATTCAGCAATCATTGGGATATGAAGTTGATGGATATGAATATAAGGTTGAAGAAGGCTCTTTACGGCCTAAAGCAAACACCAAGAGCATGAAATAACCATATTGATGCTTACTTCCAGGAGAAGAGTTCACGAGCATGCCCTTTACATGAAGGGAAAAAATGGAGACATTTTAATTGTTTGCTTGTTTTTTTTTTGGACAGCAAAAAGGCAATTTATTGAGAAAGGAAGAAAACTAGCGAGGGGCTAGTTACAAGCAGAGTACACAGCATCAACCGGGTTACAAATCCAATTCTCCCAACTAGAAGGCTTACTAAACTTCGCTCTACACCTAATCCACTCATACGCAGTGAATTGGATGTCGCTACAAACATCCTTATCAGACTTGCACTTGCCCCTAAACGTCTTGTGATTCCTTTGCGTCCAGACGGTCCAAAAATAAGCTGCCATAATCACCTTGCCCACCTCTCTTCTGCCACTATCACCAATCTCGTAGACCACCGACCACAAGTCACGAACCGAAGTCGCATTTACCGGCCACCAATTTACCCAAGAAGCCATATGCGCATTAATAGCCTTAGCCGTGGAACAATTCACGAAGACATGGTCCAAGTTCTCCACCGTAACCAAGCACGTCGGGCACTCATCAGAGCTGCATGCCACTCCTCGTTTTATGAGGTTATCCCTGGTTGCTAACCGGTTGTTGAGCGTTCTCCATAAGTGAATATTAGCCTTGCTGGGGATCCACTTAAACCAATCTGTTTCCTGTTCCACAGAAGGAAGCATAACACAGTCAATCAATCTCCTTAGCGATTTAACAGAGAAGATATTGTAAGCCTCCAGCAACCAAGACCACCCATTCCGATCCGGCACTTCGATTAGATGACTATCGATATTGATCCCGATGTCCCCCAGGTCTTTTTCAATACTTTTGATATTTCTCCAGACAGATCTTCTGCCTCTGCTCGCTCTAGACAAGAATTGAGACGAGTTACAAAGACGCACGACCACATTCCAGATTGCCTGATCTTCTGTTCACGCTCTCCACCACCATTTGGCAAGCACTGCAAGGTTTAAGGCATGTAAACTCCCAATACCCAACCCGCCACTCTTCTTGTCACTAAGAACCCGATCCCACGCCACCCAACTAATTTTTTTTACAACCTCCAAACCGCCCCAGAAAAAACGCCGTCTTATATTTTCCAGAGTACTAATAACCTTCTTAGGAGCTTTAAACAACGAGAAGTAGTAAGTACCCAAACTGCCCAACACAGTTGTCCAAGAATGAAGGAGGAGAAAATGTAGATCCAACCTGTTTCAAGAGAGCATGGTTGGAAGTCTACGTTACTTAACTTGTACAAGGCTAGACATCTTGTATGCGGTTGGACTCGTCAGTCGCTATATGGAGCCGCCAATAATTGTCAATGTCCAGGCTGCCAAGAGAATTCTTTGGTATCTTAAAGGTACGATTGATCTTGACTTTTTTATTTGGCTTCTAACGGTTACAAGCTTGTTGGTTATAGCGATAATGATTGGCGTGGAGATATAAATGATTGAAAAGGTGCAATGGGGTTCGTGTTTTTCTTTGGAAACACGAATTTTACATTGGTATAAAAGAAGCAAACAACTATCACATCATCTACTTATGAGGCCAAATATATGTAGTTGCCACTTCATGTGTATGTCATGCAGTATGGCTCATGAATTTGTTAAAGGAGATAAATTTGATTCAAGAAGATCCAACAAAGATTTGCGTCGACAACAAGTCAGCTATTGCCTTACCAAAGAATCTAGTGTTTCATTATCAGTCCAAGAACATTGATATTCACTACCATTACATATGGAGTATGTGGCTAGAAAAGATGTGTATTTGAAGTTTGTAAGGTCTCAAACTCTAATTACAGATATCTCCACTAAACCACTCAAGTTTGAAGATATTGCTAGACTAAAGGGGTGTTTGGTTTAGGTTGAATAATAAAAAACTAGAATGAAAATGAAAATGATGGGGAGCAAAATGAGAATGTTTTCTCATTCCCACAATTTAACCTAAAACGAAAATTTGGGTTTCTAAAAGGGATGAACGCATTAAATTATATAAAACCAAACAATTTGTTTTATTATTATTCTCATTGATTACTTGTTGATCCTCTCTCTCAGTGATTTGATGATAATCCCTTTTTCCTTTCGATGTATTTCTGTGTCTGTAATTTCAGTTCCAGCGATCATACACTGAGCTTGTTCAGTGATCGCTGAAGAACTTGTTTTGTAATTCATTCAAAGACAACGATACTTCAAAAAAACAACACTAACACCAAAGATTCTTCAGCAAACGTAGAAGACTGAAACTGAAGATTAGAGACTGGCGCGTACGTGATCTGAAGCGGTATTCAATGATTACAAGCCTGTCTAGCTATGTGTGAAGACTGCTCTAGCTTCAGCGAATGATGATGAGACCTTCAGGTCATTCCAGCATTTAGCAATCAAAGGAAACTTGCTTAGCACGATTGTTGTTATTTTGTCCTTGTACACACAAAAGGACAAACCCATACCCTTATCAGAGATAGTACGGTACGGAGCCGATTAGTCGACTCTTTGTCCATTATCTTTAGGTAAGGATGTCAGTTCATAAATAGTGCTTTTGTACTATTTACTGTAACAAAGGACAAGCCTTCCTATTAAGGCTTGACACGCACTCTTAACCTACCATACTGCATTAAATGAACATTTAATGCACTGGGTATAAATAGAAGTGTTTCTTCTCCATGCA